TTATATTTACACCTCATGATACTGTGATTTATAATAAGAAATATATATTTGGTCTTCATCCCAAACCCTTGGAATTTCCTAAGTGAGGAAAGATAAAGGTGTCTTTTATCACGTTAATGAAGTGACTTTTGGAATGCCCCTAGGGTAAGAATGGGAACTGTGTCCCAACCCCCCAACCATTCCCCCCACCCCATCTTCAGCTACAGGATGGGGAGAGGGGCAGGGGATTGAGTTTAATTACAAATGGTCAATGATTTAATCCATCACGCCTATCTAATGAAGCCTCCATAAAAACCCAAGAGGACAGGGCTCAGAAAGCTTACAGGGTGGTGAACACAGAAAGATACCAGGAGAATGACAGCCCCAGAGACCTTGGAAGCTTTTCACCCTTTCCCACATACCTTGCCTTATGCATCTCTTCCATCTGGCTGTCCCTGAGTTATATATATCCCTTTTTAAGAAACTGGTAAACTAGTAAGTAAGATTTTTTTTTTGAGTTTTGTGAGCCGCTCTAGCAAATTAATTGAACCTGAGGAGGGAGACCTGGGAACCTCTGATCTACAGCCAGTCATCCAGAAACACAGGTGACAATCTGGACATGAGCGTGGCATCTGAAGTGAGGGTGGAGGGAGTCTCATAGGACCAAGCCCATAACCTGTGGGATCTGATGCTATCTTCAGGTAGAGTTCCAGAATTGAGTTAATTGCCTGGTGGTATCACAAAAAAACATACGCGGGGTGGGGCGCCCGGGTGGCTCAGTCGTTAAGCGTCTGCCTTCGGCTTGGGTAATGATCCTGGGGTCCTGGGATTGAGCCCTGCGTCGGGCTCCCTGCTCAGTGGGGAGCCTGCTTCTCCCTCTCCCACTCCCCCTGCTCTTGCTATCTCTCTCTGTCAAATAAATAAAATCTTAAAAAAAAAAAATACGTGGGACCCACAGAATTACCATTTCTGGTGTTCCTTCTTTCTTGATTCAAGTTCCATTTGGTGTCATTTCTTGTCCACCCAAAGGACTTACTTTTTAAAGTATTTTTTGTAGTGCAGGTCTACTTGTAATAAATTCTCTCAGCTTTTATCTGGAAATGTTTTTATGTCACCTTCATTTAGGAATGGTGTTTTTACTTGATGTAAATTCTAGGTTGATAGGGATTTTTTTCTTTATTTATTTTAAAGATGTTCCATTTTCTCCTGACTTGCTAATGAGAAGTTATTAGAATATCTTACTATTGTTTCCCTATATGTCATATGTCTTTTTTCTCTGGCTGCTTTATTTTTTATTTTTAGCAATTTGATTATGATACCAACATGTAATTTTCTGTACATTTATCCTGCTTGGGGTTTATTGAGTTTCTTAAATCTGTGAGTTGATATTTTTCATCAAATTTTGGCCAGAATTTTTTTGCCACAAACTCTTATCTTATTCTGGGGAATCAAGTTACATGTATGTTGGATTGCTTGACACTGTTCCACAGATCACTAAGGTTCTGATGTTTTCTATTGTTGTTTTGCTTTGTTTTGTCTTGATTTTTTTTTTCTCTGCTTCAGTGTGGATAGTCTTCAGGATTCCTGACCTTTTCTTTCAGAGCGCCCAAGGTGCTGTTAAGCCTATCAAGTGGTCTTTTTTTTTTTTTTTTCCGTTTCAGATATTGTATTTTTCAGATCTGGGGTTTCCATATGGTTCATTTTTATAGTTTCCGTTTCTCTTTGCTAATAGTCCCCACCTAGTCACTCATTATATACATCTTGGTCTGTTGGTTGGTTGGTTAATCATGAACATATTTATAATAGCTGTTCTAAAGGCCTTGTCTACTAATTCCAACATCTCTGGATGTTGTTTGTTTCTCTGGACATTTTGCTCCTGGCTGTGGGTCATATTTTCCTGCTTTTTCCCTTGACTAATAATTTTTTGTTGTATGCTGGACGTTATAAATGCTGTGTTGTTGAAGGTCTGGTCTGCTGCCTGTTTTTTTAAAGAGTATTGAGTTTTATTCTGGCAGGCGATTGATTTACTGACAGATTAGCTTTCTCCTGTTGAGGCTTGTTTCTAGGACTTATAAGGGTGGTTCTAAAGCAGCCCTTATTAAAGGGCTTGAGTCTTGAGGCTTAGTCCTTTTGGGGTCTCAACTGAAGGTCCAAGATGTTCAGTGAGGTCTCTCCACTGTGGCTCATTGAAACCCCAGTATCTCTCAGTGCTGGGAGATCTCCAGAATCTCTGCTCAGCTTATAGCCCTCCAGTTGGTTTTCTCTCTCAGGCTTTTGAGCTTCTTCCTGCACATGTGCCAGGGGCCCCTTTACACACGTTTCTTGAACTCCTCCTCCTCCAACACAAATTCCAGCCACTTCAGCTGTCTTAACCATCAGCCTCTTTTTGCTCTGCCCAGCAAGCCCACTGCTTTGTGTTTGGGACCCACACTTTCCTCTGCCTTAGAAAGTACCGCCCATAAGAAATTTGGGATAAATGTGGGGTTTGTCACTTTTGTTTTCCTTCTTTTAAGAATAACAGTACTTTGAAGCAGCTTGTCCAGTGCCTGAAAATGATTATTGCATATGTTTCTCCAGTTTTATAATTGTTTATGACAGGAGGGTAAGTCCAATACCAGGTATTCTATGAATCTGGATGTTGGCCTTCCTCTATATCTTGTTTTTGAAATTCAAATTTGAATTGCTATAGATTTTGTACCTCCATTTCCTGCTATGGCCAATGCATTAAAATTACCTTTTTGTCCTTTTTATGTCTCTGAGTATGCCACCTGTGGATTATAAAACCAAGACAAACACAGGCCCTGGAAACAAAATTAGAAGAGAAAATACAGTTTGAAATAAAAGGTTATTGAATAGAAAAACTGTCTTATGAGAGAAATAGGCCAAATACAGAGTAGAAATTGGACTTTTTTTTTTTAAGATTTTATTTATTCATTTGAGAGAGAGAGCACAAACAGTGGGGAGGGGGAGAGGGAGAAGCAGACTCCCCAGTGAGCAGGGAGCCCAATGTGGGACTAGATCCCAGGACCCCGGGATCATGACCTGAGCCAAAGGCAGACACTTAACCGACTGAGCCACCCAGGCATCCCTGAAATTGGACTTTTTTTAAAAGATTTTATTTATTTGGGAGAGAGAAAGAGAGCAAGAGCGCACAAGTAGGGAGAGAGGAAGAGAATCTCAAGCAGACTCCTCACTGAGCATGGAGCCAGATGCGGGGCTCAATCCCACAACCCACGAGATCATTACCTGAGCTGAAACCAAGAGTCGGATGCTTAACTGACTGAGCCACCCATGTGCCCCTAGAAATTGGACTTTAAAAAGAATTTGGGGAATATCGTGCAAATGTAATCCTTTGGAGTTCCTTGCATCAAAGAAGAAAATTTGTGGGGTGCCTGAGTGGCTCAGTCAGTTAAGCATCTGACTCTTGATCTCAGTCCAGGCCTTAATCTTGGGGTTGTGAGTTCAAGCCCTGTGTTGGGCTCCACACTGGGCATGGAGCCTACTTAAAAAGAAAGAAAAAGAAAATTTGTCAGAGAAGGTATACAATGATTTTCAACTCATTAAAGAAATAAAATGGATTTTCATAAATATTGTAGACTTTTTAAAACTTTTGAATAGTAAGAGGGAAAGGTTAAAAATATTCATTTTGCTTTATAAACTTTGCTTTTCTACAAATAATATATGTGCCTGGTGCAAAAGCAAAGGGAAAGGGAGAAAAGAAAATAAAAATGAATAGATACTTTATGATTTATCATTTTTATAAATGGCAGTGGCACAAAGAACCCCCTATTTTTCCAGATGTTGCAAAACTACAAAGGGGCAAGATGTAGGAGAAAAGCCTCTTGGATCAGGGCTAGCTGTGTTCCTCATTGCTATACCTCCTTATGTGCTCACAAGGTGTCTGCTTCCGGAACTGCTATGACCAGCAGACCTGACAAGGACTGACAAACAGACCTTTAAGCTAACACCCTCGGGCAGTCCAGAGATGCACCCTGTGCATCTGAGATTTATAACACTCTTTTGGAAGCTGACATTGCTTTTAGAACAATGAGCCTGAGGGCCACCTGGGTGGCTCAGTCGGTTAGGCATCTGACTCTTGATCTCAGCTCTGGTGTTGATCTTGGGGTCGGGGGCTCAATCTCCAAGCTGGGCATGGAGCCTACTTTAAGAAAAAAAAAATTAAAAGATCCTAGAACAATGAGCTTGATTAACCTTCCCGAAGCACAGCTGTTTTGTTGCTCTCCCTCTCTGAGATTCTGAATATGCTGCAGCCCACCTTTGCTAGTCAAGTCCTGCACTGGGTAAAGTGACAAAGTCCAGGGCAAGTCCCCCCAGAGGGACTCTCAAGTTCTAGACTTGAAGTTTAAGAAGCTGCAATGCCCACGGCTGTGTATTTTTTACTTCCTTCTTTTTGTCCAGGTTTTTCCCCACTGGTGGAATGACTCCTGCCTTGAGCCTTTTTTGCTCTTCCTAGACCACTTTCCCGTGCCTCTTCCTCCGTTAGAAGGCCCCTTCTAGTCCCCTGACCAAGTGTGCTCTCTCCCGTGTGTATCCCTGGAGCACCACAGGCAGCCCACATACATGTGCACTGGCCACACACTTTATTTTGGTTCCCATTGCATACCTTTTGCCTCTGGTCATCAGTCAGCTTTTTGAGAGAAATGCCTTCTTTTATTTATCTTAATATTCTTTGCTGTGCCAAACAGTGTCTGGCACATTGTGGGCATTTAGAAATATTTATCCCCAGTATTAATTCTCTCACAATATGAAGTTAATCTTTTTAATGTGTCCTAAACTTTTCTTTTCCAAATATCAAAGACTTTTCCCTCCTGGCAGTTGTTAATTCATGAACAACCCCACCTCTGCCTCATTCACAAGCTTTGTGCATTTGTAGGCCTCTATCATATTCCTTCTTAGCCACCTCTGTTTTAGGGCAAAGGTTAGAGCTTTCGGAGGGAATTGTGGTATACATTCCTTGAAGTGATAGTGGTGATGGTTAACCCTCTCTCTTCTCCACACAGGGAGATGTTCTTTACTACCATGGAAAGCCACCTTCTGCGCTGCAAAGTGTTAGAAATCATATTCCTCCACAGCTGCGAGACGCCCACTCGCCTGCCCTTGTCTCTGGCCCAGGCCCTCTACTTTCTGAACAATTCCACATCACTGCTCAAGTGTCAGGTACATGCTTCCCTGCCTCGGTCAGGCCTAGAACACCTTTCCCCTCACCCTTGAGCATGTAACTGAAGAAGGCACCTCCTACCAACTGCTTTCACTTCTCCGCAGTCGGATAAAACCCAGTGGCAGACGTGGGACGAACTGGTTGAGCACCTGCAGTTCCTGTTATCCAGTTATCAGCATGTGTTAAGAGGTAAGCAGCATTTGTTCACAAAGATGATTGTATGGGAGTCTCACAATCGCCATTGTTATGAATTGAAGTTACATAGGGGATTCTAATTTGTTAGCCTAAGTACAGCATCGTTCCTTGGTTATAACTACAAGGAACAAGGAATGACATCTTTGGAATCACTGCTATAAATCAGAAGAATTCACATATTTCCGTTATGGCAGATAATACGGTGGTCCTTGCAATTATTACTTTGACAGGTAAGCAGCAGTCGTCATACCACGAGAAGTATTCTGTAATGACCTGATTAGCCCTGGCATCTTACCCTGCCCGTCACTGCAAGTCTTTGCTGGGTCACTTGCTCATTGACTATGGACACTGTAAACATCTGTCAGTAGGATACAAAGCCAGAGCAAATCAGTGGCAAGGTAAAAGCATACATCTTGCAGAAGTTGTAAGATGCTCTATAATCTGTGAAAGTGACTTTGTTCAAGTCCCAGGCAAACCCAGTGATCAAGGAGGATCCAAGAGAGTCAGACTAATTAACACTCAGGAAGTGAATATTGACGAGGGTAATAATGGAATAGCTGCTTCAAGTGAGAATGATTTTTTTTTAAAGATTTATTTATTTGACAGAGAGAGAGAAATACACACAGTGAGAGAGGGAACACAAGCAGGGGGAGTGGGAGAGGGAGAAGCAGGCTTCCCACGGAGCAGGGAGCCTGATGCGGGGCTCGATCCCAGGACCCTGGGATCATGACCTGAGCCGAAGGCAGACGCTTAATGACTGAGCCACCCAGGCGCCCCTCAAGTGAGAATGATTTTATTAGCCAAATATTAATAAGGCCCTTGTTCCCAATTACTGACGTAATTATTAATTCCAAAAGGAAAGATAGTAACTTTTTTTTACAGATGTATTTATTTATTTATTTATTTGAGAGGGAGAGAGCGTGCACATGAGCAGGGGGAGGGGCAGCAGGAGAGGGAAAGAGAGAGAGAGAGAGAGAGAATCTTCAGCAGACTCCCTGCTGAGCACAGAGCCAAAGTGGGACTCCATCCCACACCCTGAGATCATGAGCTGGGCTGAAACCAAGAGTCATGTGCTTAACCAACTGAGCCACCCAGGTGCCCCAAAAGATAGTAACTTTTTAGGGGAGAAAACACATTCCTCTTAATGTGATGCCCTGAGAAGGACACGTCATCACTTAGGTAGTGTTCTTGCCAAAAATCCATGACCTGAATCTAATCACAAGGGAGCATCAGACAAATTCCCACGGAGAGACCTTTCACAAAATAATTGACTTGTACTCTTCAAAAGTGCCAGTGTCTTAAAAACAAAGACAGACCAAGAAACTGTTCCAGATTAGAAAGAAACTAAAGCACATTAATACTAAATGCAAGACATGATCCTGGATGGGCTCCTGAACCAGGGAAAAGAAGCTATGAAGTATGTTATTGGGATGATTGGTGAAATTTAAATAGATAAAATAATAGTATTATACTAATATTAAATTTCCTATTTTTGATAACGATCCTGGCTTCTGAAAATAATTGTCCTCAGTCTTACGAAGTCCAGATTGAAGTATTGAGGGGTAGAAGGGCACAATGTTCAACTTATCCTCAAACAGTGAGGAGGGACAGTACATATTTATATGTAACTATATGTAAATATATACATTTATATATAATATACATTTTATATTTACTTGCCATGATCATGTTGAGGTTGATTTTAGCTCAGTAATGTCACTGGGGAAGGTATGATGGCCCTTATACCCTCTCAGGCCTGGAACTGGGGAAGCTATTGTAGAGAAATAAAAGAACAGCACTGAATTTATGACAGAAGGTTTGGAGGGGCGCCTGGGTGGCTCAGTTGTTAAGCATCTGCCTGCGGCTCAGGTCATGATCCCAGGATCCCCAGATCAAGCCCCGCATCAGACTCCCTGCTCTGCAGAAAGCCTGTTTCTCTCTCTCCCACTCCCCCTGCTTGTGTTCCCTCTCTCACTTTGTCTCTCTCTGTCAAATAAATAAATAAAATCTTTAAAAAAAACAAAAACAAAACAGAAGGTCTGGGTTTGAATCCCAACTCCACCACTTACTCTGCTAACTTTATGTCTCTAAACCTCATTTTCTTCTATGGAATGGGGATGGTAATATACACCTTTTCGAGACTGATTGTTAAAAGATGTGAGAAAAAATAGTGAGCACTCATTTAGTTGAATCTCAGCCTGCCTATTTGCACAGCCAGGAGTAGGCTACGAGATCTTTATGTTTCAGCCTCTTGTAACTAAAACTTAAAAGTGCATTGTCAAGGCCATGACATTTGTGGTTGTATAGTTTGTGCATTTTTTAGCCCCCTCAAAGAAGGGTACATGTCCTTCTCAGAACAAAGCCTCAGAGGCAAATTCCATGTTGTACTTAGCCTCATCAAGGTTTACATAATTGTTCTTTTGGAGATCAAGAGAAAGTTTAATATTAAAGCAGCCTGGTTTTATTTAAAGTTCACCTTTAACACTCCTTGTTTACTTCTGTTTTGCTTCCAAGGGAATACAGCTGGGCATTGGGGGCAATAGTGACTTAAGATGGACATGGGATCCCCTTTCATTCCAGAATATTTTTATGCTTCTAACAAGGGAGAGGAAAAACTTAGACCAGTGTATATTGACCAAGAATAAATGGGATGTTGGGTTCCAGTGCTATTTTATCCTTAACATTTTCTCCACTTTCTTTGGAGACCAAGAGTTAAGAAGGAGAAAAAATATTTAGAACCAATAGTTCGGAAACAATGTCTTCCAAAGAAGGCAGCTAAATGGCACCCTGACATGGTCAGTATCCTTGTCAGTAGGCTTTTTACTGTGAGGGCTCCTTAGTCATCTCTGCCCTCTGCAAGTGGTCTGAGGACATTGTGGAAGGCATTTGGGGTCAGCCTGAGTTGTCCAGCTCCACGGATAGGAGAAGAAGGGAAGAGGTTGGGGAGCCCAAGCTTGTCCTCTGTTTAGGGGAACATCTTAGCATGGGGGAAGAGAAGAAGAAAGACTAGGTAAATTCACACACCCTGGCATATATAATCCAATAACCTGGGGAAGGTGAGTATCATCCCCTTTTTATAGACGGGGAAACAAAGGCTGAGAGAAAAGTAAGTGAGGAGCCAGGATTCAAACTTAGGTCTGTTGCCAGAGTCTATGTGCAGTGAAAACACACTGGAAGGAATTATTGTTCTATGAAATCACTGGGTGAGATTAGGTGAGACTCTAAGGAATTTCCAACTCCCTGTTTTCTAAACTCTCGGTACATGGTTAAATTACTTTTGTACAAACCCTTGACCTTGGGGAAAAGTATATCCTGAAGCCCCATACTTTGTAAATATTTCCAAGAAGGCAGAGCAGCCCCATGGAGGCATAGATGCTGGGCTGCCAGGTAAGCTCACATTCTCTGGCTAAGAGAATCAATCCCACCACACCCCAGTTCCATAGCCATGCAACTCAAGTTTGAGCCTCAGCCAAACGGCAACTTGCTTTATGCCATGAGTTTTCCTGATACTTGTGAATTGTTAATACCTCTTATTTTGAAACTATGAATGCTAGGAATTTAAACATACAGTATTTAAAGGAAGAAAAACACCTGTTTTCCTGAATTCCACTTGGCTAGACAACTTTAGCAGGATGGCCCACGGAAGTCAGACCCCAGTTCCTTCTGAGGAGAGATAAACACAGCTTTCCTACAAGGAGCCTGTCCAGAGACGGGAGAAAAGCAGATGCCGGCAAGATCAATTCAAGTCATATATTCATCCAGGCAACAAATATTTACAAAATGCCTTCTGTGTGCCTGGCTCATTGGGAAAACTTCAGTGAATAAGACCAACGTGGCCCCTGCACTCATAGAGCTTACTGTAAAGAGATTGACCCTGAACAAATAATCACATAAATAACATATAATCACAATTAAAATAAATGCTCTGAAGGAAAGGAGAAGTGCACAAAATAGGAGCACCTATTCTATTTTTGGAGGGACCCACAAAGACCTCCCTGAAGAAGTGATACTTCAGCTGAGATAAGTACTGGTGAGGTACCTGGGTGGCTCAGTCCGTTAAGCATCTGCCTTCGGCTCAGGTCATGATCCCAGGGTTCTGGGATCGAGCTCCACATCAGGCTCCCTGCTCAACAGAGTCTGCTTCTCCCTCTCCCTCTGCCCCTACCCCCCAGCCCCCACTCATGCTCTCTCTCTCAAATAAATAAATAAAATCCTTAAAACAAACAAAAAAACAGGACTGGTGTTAGCCAGGCAAATAGGGCAAACTTTTCCAGAAAAATTAAAAATGGGTTGTCCGGGGCGCCTGGGTGGCTCAGTCGTTAAGTGTCTGCCTTCAGCTCAGGTCATGATCCCAGGGTCCTGGGATCAAGCCCCGCATCGGGCTCCCTGCTCCGCGGGAAGCCTGCTTCTCCCTCTCCCATTCCCCCTGCTTGTGAATCCCTCTCTCACTGTCTCTCTCTCTGTCAATTAAATAAATAAAATCTTTTAAAAAAAAATGGCATGTCCAAGGGCCGTGAGGCAAGAAGTTGTTTATCGAGTCCAAGGAACATAGAACAAGCTAGTAAGACTGGAATGTAGAGAGCAAGGGGAGACTAGCACAAGATGAGACTAGAATAGTAGATGGATAGGGCATGAAGGGACTTCTGGGCCCTGTTAAGAAATGTCAGCTTGATTCCAAGAGTGAAGAGAAGCCATCAAAGTGGTTTTGCATAAGGTTGCTCTGCCTGAGGTGTGGCAAGTAGTTTGGCGGAGGACCAGAGAGGTCCCAGGAGGGGTCATGGTGGCGAGGGTGTGGGTTGTGCAGCGGGGAAGGCCGTAGATAGAACAGAAGCACTTTGAAGATCAGTTTGTCAGGGCTTGGGTAACTGAGTCGCAAGTAAGGTTCCAGGGTTCTGCCATTGCTGACACGGACATAAATGGAGAAAGATCTGCAGACAAGATAAAAAGTGCAGTGTGACTGTTGAGTTGGAGATTCCTATAGTGATGGTGATGATGATGATGATAAAATAATAATAGTTACCCTAGGGGGAGCCTGGGTGGCTCAGTCAGTTGAGCATCTGACTCTTGGTTTCTGCTCAGGTCATGATCTCAGAGTTGTGAGATCAAGCCCCAGGTTGGGCTCTGTCCTCAGCATGGAGTCTGCTTGAGTTTCTCTCCTTCTCCCTCTGCCCCTCTCCCCCTGCTCTAAATAAATAAATAAATAAATAAATTTTAATATAATAATAATAGTAGTTACCCTTAGTAACCTGATCCAGGAACCTAATAATAATACTATGAGCCAGAACATCTTGCATAAGGCATTGTGCTAAAGTCTTTACATAAATCGCCTCACACAGTATTCCCAACAGCCTGTGATACAAGACCTCCCATGCCTACCGAAGCATAAAATCCAAGGCCTTGCCAACTGGACCAGAATGGCTGAAGTCCACTGGCCAAAAGTTCCTCTCCCTTGGACAGTGCTTGGATAGGAACTGCCAACATTTACCTCTTTGAATGTCTGGTATTACTTTAATAAACCCCAAATTCTTCTTGCTCCCACTCCAAGTCATCCCTATTCCCCTCTGTTCAGCCAGTTCTTTCCATTCCTTCAAAATCATTTTCATATTTTTCAGAGTAGCATATGCCTTACAAAAACTACATTTTACTAAAAGACTTTTGTCCCCCTACAACCATTCTCCACCAGTAGCAGAGTAAAATAGAGCACATTCCCTGGCTTAAAACCCTCCAGATGCTTCCATTTGCTCTCAAAGGCCAAACTCCACATTGTTCTGCGGCCCAGCCTACCTTCCAGTCTCCTCTACTACCGCTTTCCCTTACCACCCACATTTTACCTCTAGTTCTCAAAACAAGCTTTTCCTGCCTCAGGGCATTTACACTTACTGTTCTCACTACCTGAACTGCTTTTCCCCTAGACCTTTGCACAATTGCCTCCTTCTCATCCTTCAGGACTCAGCTAAGAGGCCCTGAGTAGAATGGGCTGCTTCCTTCATCCCCCCAATGCCACTGTTTCTCACAGCATCCGATTTATTTCTGTGATTGTACTCACCAAAACTATAATTGTTTTTGTTGGCTGGTTTACTGTTAGGCTTCCTGCAACTAGAATGTCAGTTCATGGGGGCTGGGCCCAGGTCTCTAATTGCACTGTATCCCCAGAAAGCAGCCCACTTCCAGATGCATAGTAGGTGCTCACTGGAATTTGTGTTGATTGAATGTTGAAAGGGCCCTGATAGGACATCTCAAGGCAGCTTTGCTTCCTGTTTCCTTTTTAGACACTCTGTAGTGTTTGTTGTACTTTTTTCACTTTACAGTTAGGCCCGGTGCTATAAATTTAGAGGGACTTTAGCTGAAAAGATACCTGAAGGTTGAAGAAAAACATATTGAGCATATTATTTGAAAGTGTAACATAGTACATTGCTTAAAAACAAGTTTATTCTGTTTCCCAAATTTCTGGCTACGATGTAGCTCAGTTCTGAACACCCTGCTAGAAGAGGTGCGGTTATCCCCATCTTCTAGATGAGGAGATGGAGGAAGTGATGCCCTAGTGAATGCTGGTGCATCTGGGAGTCCGCAAGTCCTCCAAGCTCGCCACAGCCGTGGTCCTTTGCCTGAACTCCATATATTTCCCGAATCCTGTTGGGGCTAATCTGTGGATTTGGATGAGAGACCTTTATAACTTCTTTTACTTTTCCTCAATATTTTTATTTTTGGAGGGTTGAAAGAGTGGTACAATGAACATCCATTTACCTTTTATGTTGATTTACTGACTGTTAACATTTTGCCACATTTTGGTTTATCTACTGATCCACCTGAATACTTTTTTTTTTTTTTGAGAGTTGAAAGTTGCACCATCATAATCCTTCATGCCTAAAAATACTTTGGCCTAAGAATAAGGATATTCCCGTACATACCACAATTCATTATCACACTCAACAAATTTATCCTTAATAGAATATTCTCTAACCTGTCCCAGTAGTATCCTTTATAGGTGGCTGGGTCTGTTTTGAGCCAGGCTCCAAATAACACATTGTGTTTGGTTGTTGTATACTCTTTGGTCTCCTTTTACACAGTTCCCACCCTTTCCTTGACTTTCATAATACAGACATTTTTGAAGAGCCCAGACCAGTTATTTTGTAGAATATCCCATAATTGGGGTTGTCTAATTATTTCCTCATGATCAGAGTTCTGTTAAATCCTACTGGCAAGAACACTGACTAGATGAAGATGTACACTCCTTCCCAGCACATGACAGCAAGAGGCAGTAATGTCAGTTTGGTCCCATTATTGGTGATGTTAAGTGTGATCATTTGGTTAAGGTAGCATCTATCAGATTTCCCCATTGCTCTGTTATTAGCTAAGTAATCCAGAGAGTAAGACTTTGAGACTGTGAATATCCTATTCAGCCCTCCACTCAAGGATTTTAGCGCCCACTGATGGTTCTTACCTGAATCAGTCATTACAATAGTAGATTGAAAAGTGGTTGCTTTCTAGTTATACGTTGCCTCTACATTTCTTAACTGGCTTTCTTCTGCAAAAAGGACCTTTCCCTTCTTCCCTCCTTCTTTATTTACTATGGACTCTGCACTTTTTAAAATTTCATACGTATAACCCATTTTTGTCATTTTTTTTTGATCATGTCCAAAACGTAGCCAGTAAAGAGGACTCTTCACGCTGGCTTCTGTGTCCTTTTGACGTGTTCCCGTGTGTGCGCACACGCGCGTTTTCCCCCACTCTGTTTTTAAGCATTCCCTTACTTTCTTATAAAAGATGTTCCAGGTTCACCTTGTAATTTCCTTGCCATGGTCCTAGAATCGGCCTTTCCTCCAAAAAAATTCTGGTTTCTCTCGGTAGGGAGTGGGGAAAAGCATTACGAAATCAAGACCTGGGTGTTAATATGCTGATTACTACTGGGGTACCTGCTTCTAGGCCCTCTGACAGCAGAGCTAGAAAATTACATAATTTTTTTTTTAGAAATACGAGTTCATAGCAATACCTCAATTTCCAATCCCTCAGAATTCTTCCTCTCCTCCTGTTCCGTAACTGAATCACTCTTCTCCCACAGCAAGAACCCTTATTCCGAACATGGTTATATTTATTTGGTCTATCATACAACATACACGAAATTGTTTCTTTTCAACAGAATTACTACAACAGACCAACACTACAACAAACTAAGATACTAATTCAATATTTCTTTGCAATTCTTTTTATACTAGAAATCAGTCTCCCAGAAGATATTAAAAATTCACATGGGTCTTTTGCAAGTGTTAAATTAACTTGAAGTATAGTGCATTGTTTGATCTAGGCTCATTGCTTAAATCAACAAAGGGAAAAAACTAAGACAATTTTAATTTGTACAATTTTAATATGCAAAACTTGAGGACCAGAGAGAACCAAGAACAAAGGACCTTTTAGAAATTGAGTGACCACAGATACTCAAATGACCTTTGACTTGTACTCCTGTAATCACCAGTCAAGTCTTTGCCCAGGCCCTACCTACTAAAATTGGACTTAAGTCATAAAGGAATAAAAAGCCATTCAGAGGAGTTCAGCTGACTTTTTCCCTCTTGCAGAGCACTTGCGGAGTTCAGTGATTGATCGGAAAGACTTAATCATCAAGAGGATTAAGCCCAAGCCCCAGCAAGGGGATGACATCACGGCACTGGACGTGGAGAGGCAGATTGAGGCCTTCCGCAGCCGCCTGACCCAGATGCTGGGGGAGCCGCTGGCGCCCCAGCTCCAAGACAAAGTGCACTTGTTGAAGCTCCTGCTCTTCTATGCCGCGGACTTGAACCCTGACGCAGAGCCTTCTCCGAAGAACTGGAGCAGCCCCTGAGGTCCTTCTAAGCACTGAACACCAAGAATACCTCCTGAACTCTATCTCCAACTACTTGGAAGTTCTGAAAGTATCTGAAGTAGTTAAAAATCTTATAGGACCAAACCTTATTTATCTGTAGGTTATGACAACTTTCTCTTTAGTAAATTTTTTTGATATTCTATCCTAGCCTGTTCTCAAATATGGCTTAAATATACAAGGTGTATATATTTTTTAATAAATTATTTATCTATACTTTTTTTGAAGCAGGTAATACTATATGCACTGTATGTTTAACATTTCCAGTAAGCCCTCTGAACAAATTCTGGACATCGATGTATGTCATTCAAGGTACTGACGACCTGTTTCAGAAGAGAAAGATATACTCATTTCTCCCTGATGGATCACAAACATCCTATATTAGAGCTGTTATATTGCCTATGAATTTGACTTTGTGGCCAGTCCGTTAAGATCTAATGTAATGGGGGTGGAGGGTAGAAACAAAAAGATTGAGCGTGTTACAAATAATTTGATGTTAAAAGGATACAATAAAAAGGCAATGGTTTTTCAAAATACCAAGTTTACCATGCTTAGGTTCTATGACCGTGAGTAGGCAGAATGTAAGAACAACTCTTACATACATACACACACACACACACACACACACAAAGGCTATCCACATTTGAGAAAGCAGTTTAAGAAGTTTGTTTATTGTCAAAACAAATAAGAGATACAAGCATAACAGAAGACACAAATAAATTAATTATTCTGATCATTTTAGACTCCAGGGCTTCTCGATGGAAAAGTCAGCTCAGCTCCTTATGTAGACATGATAGTATCCAAAACAAAAAAACAGTGAGAATTTGAGACAGCGTTTAAGACAATGACTGAACACATACATGGTGAGGAGAAATAAAGTGGCTTCCTTAGTTCCTTGCCTCAGTAACATATATTTATAAAAGTATGGAGCTCTTTCTGGAGAGCAATGTTTCATGTAGAAAAATTTTAAATTCTTCCACTTCCCAGAAAAAAAAGTCTTATGCCTGGCCTGAACTAGAAAATCAAAAGAAAAAAAAAATCAAAATAGGGTTAACACTAGTTTCACATGAACCTCAAGACTACGATCTAAATGTAGGTACCACCTTCTGTACTTAAAAAAAGTGTAACATCCATTTATCTATACCAAACCAGTAGACTGAATTTTCTCCCTTGGGAAGTTTTCAACCGAATTGGAGGTAAATTAATTTCATTTTAAAAGTGCAAAATAGGATATGCAAGATGTTCTGTGACACATAAAAGCTAAGCATCCCTCCAACAGCACTGGCCCAGAGGTGCTCTGGTAAGAAGTGGCTGCAGGACGAAGTGACCTGTAAGGCCTACCAAACACAAGGACACTCCAGTTTCAGCACAGGAAGCGGGGGGGTCCCTGCCAAGTCTGGCTGCCAAACAGATCTCAGGTCCTCCAGTTGACAAGACTGGAGCACAAAGAAGTGCACAGTCAGGAGGGTCAAAGTCTCAACTAGTTGGGCACACCTCTACTCCATGATTTGTCCATGCACATGTTTATAGTGGTAAAGAAATCACGAAGCCTCAGTTCTGGAACAACACAAACGTTATTTACCTAGTAAGCAATGATCAAAGATCTTGTCTAACGTAAATGATACAAAATGAATAATGAGGTCCCCCATACTTCACTGCTGGGATTATTTAAACTAAACCATACAAAATGGCTTCTTCCACACAAGGACAAGCTTTGCACTAACATTTCTCAAAAACCAATTACATCTCCAGCTCTAGCCTCAGTTTAAGTTTTAAAACAAAAACCTTTCCTATGTCAAAGCCAAGGTAAAAGGGGAGTTGGGTACAAGACACCCTCTATCCAGAGCCCCTGGAATACAAAGAGCTCTAGAAGCCAGTGGGTGTGAGCACATTTAAGTCACGGGGTTTGAGATTATGGGTCCGTGGTGGTGGTTTCTTCCCTTCCATCACTGGGATGTCCATCTTGGGTGGCTTGAAGGTTGCTGGATCTTCAGCTATTCGGGTGGCCTGAACACGGATCAGTTCCATTGGAGAAGGCTTCTGGGCTCCTCTGTAAGCCTGGGTGGCAAAACCTCCTATAGAAGTAAACCAAAAAGCAAATTATTTCAAAATTAGTAGGCAGTCCCCAATATACATGGTAAAATGCCACCCACATGTGTTTGTCTTTTGTTTTTTTTTTGAAGGCGCGGTCTTACCTGAATCAGACTTCTGGAGGGATCTTGGTCCAAAGAGGCTCCATTTATCTGCCAAGTTTCTGTCCTTGTCCCCACTTGCAGAATCCATGGTCCCAGGATTTGGGCCAGGCAAGGCTGTGGAAGGACCAGAAGTGAACCAGCCTCTGGAAGGGAAAGAATAAAGCATATCCTTATACCCCCTTCCTATGCCTCTAGAAGTATCTCATGCCAAGAGACTGGGAACTGTCAACTTTCCCTGCTCCCTCTGAAACCACAGGCTTAAACTCCCAATTCTGTATGCAGCACTAACTTTTCTAGAAGCACACTGCAGCTCGGGAGGCTCACCGGAAGGGCTCACCTGGACTTTTGCTTAGGGGAGGAGTGGGGGGTGCTGCTTGGGGTGGACTGGGCTGAGGCCGGCTGCTTCTCTTCTCTAGTTCTCTCTCCACTCTGTAGCTTTAGTTTCTGTTCAGATGGGTAAGGAGAAACTTCTTTAAAACGAGAGCAAATATAAAACAGCTAGTTGGGTATAAATAACTTGATTCACACTTTAACAGGCAAAGGGAAACACATTAGCAGATAGAATAATTTTGGATTATAGAACAGATATTCCTTTGATTTTGCCGTACTAGACAAAATTCCCATCTTCAAGAAAATCTATCCAATCTACAACATATCTCAAACAGCTCTGTACTAAATACCACACTAGAGCTTTTACTTTTGGAGAAGTAATTTTCCCACACTTGCCCAGTAAGTGGAAGAACCAGAACTCAAGCTGGAGGCCTTGTAGGCCTTTTACGTAGGGCCTTGAACTCTTAGGCTGCTTCTCCCACCAGCTACAAGCCCTGCCCTTCCCAGTGTCTCAAAGCCAAGACTTAGGCATGCTATTCCTCTCCAGCTAAATGCTTTCTCTGTGGCACCTGTCCCCTTCTCTCCCTTTTCCCTCCCATGGCCAGTCACTCTGGGTGCCCTGGGCATTGTAAACACACCTCTAACATACAGACTAGCTGTCTAGGAGGGGAGAGACAAGTCTACTTCTCAGTTCTAGGTCAAGGCCCCTCCACTGTCTCTGTGCTCCATGTCTAGTAAGCCCAAGCTACATTTCAAACAAATGAGCATGTCTAAATGTTCTCAAACACTCACCAAATCAATTTATGTAAGCTGGCATTTCAGCCATCCTCAATTCTACTCATGTGGCCAAGATGCAGAAAATGGGCCAAAGTCAACTCTACCATTATACAGAGTGAACTGCTCAATTGAGGAATTCTGACTCATACCTATCCTGAGAAGTTCTCAAAGACTGACAGTGCCCCTCTCCGGAAGTATCTGTCTTGTCTGAGAGATTAAGCTGGTCACCAACCCAACCTTGATCCCCTACAGCAGTGGTTTTTACACTTAGGATACAAAGAATCATCATCTGGAATGCTCACTATGAAATGCAAACACTCCACAATTTCTCATATCCTTGCCCACGGGCCACCAGATCTATATTATTGTATATCCTTCTATATATTGTGTATCATGATCCCCCTCGTGAGCCCCTTCAGGAGCCAGATTCTCAGACAACTTTCGAATATGGAGGAAAAAAAACACCAGGAAATAGGGAATCAGGAGACTTGAGTTCTACTACTGTGACTGGTTAACTATACAACCTTGGACCTGTCTCTGCATTTATAAGATATAAAAAATAGTATCTCCCTCCAAGGATTAGTACAAAGATTAAGTGAACGCAAGTGCCTCATAGGTCATAAGGCACTATTAAGTACCAACTGGTATTCCCCAACAGAAAATCCCTTGAAACTGTCATTCATACGACTGTTTAGTCGTCATTAACCTTATCAAAAATTATTCTTCACTTGTTTACAATTTTAGAAATGAAAAGGTCAATTCTACATTTGATTTTAATTTTGTAAAAAGGAAACACAGAGCACGATGTTCCTTTCCTGCTAAAGTGTTACCTCTGTTAAGACTGCCCTATTCTCCTCTCCCTCAAAGTTGGTCACTCTGGTACACAGAGTACCCGCTTCGTTGTTCATAATGTGCTCACACACATCACATGTGTAAGCTCAGAATCTCAGCTGCTCCGCCGAGCCATACGGAAACAAGGCGGATACCCCCACTTTATAGATGGATAAGCAGAAACCGCCAGGCTAACAGCTCTGGAGCTTTCAACCAGAAAGCGCCACCAGGGTGGGACTAACCCAGTACTGAACTGCTCGCCCGGTTCTCTCCACCGCTCTCCACGACACCCAGCTAAATGAGCCGGTAACGTCTAAGCCACAGCCACATCTCAAGCTATGAATGGAGAGGGCTTTTTTAAAGTTCCTAAGAAACAAGCTTACGTGGAGCGCTTCTGCCACTCGAAGGTACTTGGTCTCCTCGGTGGTAAGGCCCTTGTGGGGTGTGTAGCCAGCATCGCTCAGCCCTGCCTGTTGCTCAAAACGCTGAATGCTCTCCTGGGTCTGTTCTGGGAACAGAGGAGATGACAGTCATGCCCGTCCCCCTCTCCCCCCGCAAACTGGGGGGGGGTTCAACACGGACATCCGCTCTTCTCCCCAGAAGCAAGAGACCACACTGACTATCTGAGGAAGAGGGGTCCCCCAGACAAGCATTACTCGTACAAAAGTTCTCTAACGAGAAGGAAGCCTTCCCTCACACCGAGCTAAGAACAGGTTACTCCCAAAGGGAGTGTCGGATAACCTCCAGGGAACATTTTTTTTTGTATTTAGAAACGCAACATGGAGGAGGCAGCTGACATTCAGAAAAGTGCAAGTTCTCCAAGCATAAAGGTTCGTCAGACAGACTCACCACCCTCGTCATCCATGCACAGACTTCCACCAAAGAGAAACAGGCCACTTTTAGGCTGGATGGCACCAAAGTACCAATTAGACCCAAACCACAGAGAACATGCCTTGAACTAGGCAAGGCCTACAGACCCCACGTTTCCCATGTATGAGATCTGCCATCACGGTGCCTGCAGTAACAGATGGGCCGAACTCAATGGTAGGTCAGTCTGACCTGACATCTCCTCAGCAAGTCAGTTATACTGTGGAATGACTGACAGCTTCAACTGTACCCCCACTACATACTACACCCCTTCATCCAGGAATGTGGCACCTTGGACCAAAAGCCTAGACACCAGATGTCCTTTATGACTTAGTCGTTCCCCTTCTAAGGAATGATTTTATTATCATTAGAAATAAAAGCAAAGAAAAAAAAATGCATAAAGATGTTTTCCAGTCTTACCAGGTAGCCACCTGAAAATGTAAAAAGCAGGAAAGGATTTAATGAATACCAGGATTTTAAATGCAGTTATTGTTCGTTTGTTTTTTTAAGACTAGAGCAACAAAGTTCGTGGCA